CGATTCCCTGACCATTATAAGTATGAGCATCGCGCCAGTGGGTTTACTGGACTGCATGCTATCGCGTTCTTCGGAGCTGTGGAGATCGCTATAGCTCTGATGAAGTCAGGTGATTGGGAGGTGGATGGAAAGGACTTCCTAGGGTCTACGCCACTTTCATGGGCCGCCGGAAGCGATAACGAAGGGGTTTGCAGGCTACTCCTAGAGCTAGGGAATGTGGACCTCAACACTACAGACAATAAAGGCCGAACGCCGCTCTTTAAGGCAGCTACAAAAGGACATGAGCGTATCGTGAAGCTACTCCTCGAGCACAAGAAAGTCAATCCCAACTTATCTGATTCGCATGGCCGAACACCACTGCTCCGGGCGATCCGGAATAGGCACGAGGGTGTATTGGAGCTACTCCTCGAACGCAAGAAAGTCAGTCCCAACTTATCTGATGCGTACGGCCGAACACCGCTGTTGGAGGCAGCTTGTAGTGGACGCGAGGGCGTAGTGAAGCTAATCCTCGAACGCAAGGAAGTCTATCCCGATTCGCCTGATGGGTGCGGCCGAACGCCACTGTCGCGCGCGGCTTGGAATGGGAATGAGGGTATAGTGAAGCTGCTCCTTGAACGCAAGGAAGTCAATCCCAACTCATCTGATAACGGCAGTCAAACACCGCTCTTTAAGGCAGCTGTAAAAGGACACGAGGGTATAGTGAAGCTACTCCTCAAACGCAAGGAAGTTAATCCCAACTCATCTGATAATTGCGGCCAAACACCGCTCTATAAGGCAGCTGCAAAAGGACACGAGGATATAGTGAAGCTACTCCTCAAATGCAAGGAAGTCGATCTTAACTTATTTCATAACTACGGCCAAACGCCACTACAGTTGGCGGTTTGGAGTGGGTACGAGGGCATAGTGAAGCTACTCCTCGAGCACAAGGACATCAATCCCAATCTATCTGATGCGTGCGGTCTAACGCCACTGTCCCAAGCGGCTAGCGATGGGAGAGAGGATATTGTAAAGCTACTGCTTGAAAGCAGGGAAGTTGATCCCGACGACCCTGGTAAGTGCGGCCGAGGACCACTATGGTGGGCGGTTGAGAATGGACACGAGAGTGTAGTGAAATTACTCCTTGAACGGAAGGAAGTCAATCCCAACTTACCTGATAAGTACGGCCGAACACCGCTGTCCCGGGTGGCTGAAAATGGGCGCGAGGGTATTGCGAAGTTACTCCTTGAACGCAAGGAAGTCAATCCCGACTCACCCGATAACAGCGGCCGAACGCCACTGGGGTGGGTTGCTGAGAATGGGCATAAGGGCATAGCGATACTGCTGCTCAAACGCAAGGAAGTCAATCCGGGTTCATCCGATAAATACAGTCAAACACCACTGTTGAGGGCGGCTCGGAATGGGCACGAGGGTATAGTAAAGCTACTCCTAGGGCGCAAGGAAGCCAACCCCAACAACCCCGATAAGCGCGGTCGAGAACCACT